GCAGATAATTTTCCTGGAAAAACACTTGTCGCTTCCCCTGGAGGAGGAATTCACAAATTTGTGTATGACCTACATTGTAAAATGTCTTACTTGAAACATGCAAACATGTGAAAGTCATATCACAAATTACTCTTTGGGAGATTACAGGAATAACTGTACATGAGAGATTTTGTTCTCCTTGAATTGTTGCCTTTACAACTGCTGACAATGTAATAAAAATATTGAAATCTAAAAAAAAAATAATTCTACGTGCAAAGTGCTAATGAAACAGTTTTGATTTTCATACATAAAATGTTTGAACATAAAAAGCTAGAAAAAAATATTCCCTACTATAGATACAAAATATTTATAGGCTTGAACAGATCAGTTATTTATTTATTTTTTTATGAGCATGCTTTACAGAATTTAAAACACTTTCCCAACCTAGCAACATACATTTTTTTTAAAAACATGACACTATCCTCTATTTCTGCCTCTTTCATACATTTCACCACAGTGGAACCCTTCAAATCATTTTTTAGATCCAGGAAATGCCCGCTAAAGCTAAAATATGATCAGAGCAAAACATTATTTAATACCTCTAGTTCTATACAAGAACATTATTTAAGTAATAATCATGAAATGATACAAATAATAATGGCCAGAAATGAGACAAAGACTATGAAAATGGTACTGTCCACTAATACTACAGCGGTCCATTAATGGGTAATCTTTTTTTTTTTTTCCATTCAGCCAGCAGGCCGAATGAAAACAATCTAACAGATTCCTCCACCCACACAAACAAGGTGGATTGAGGAATCTCCCCTGCCAAGACATAGTATTCTGACAGTAGGAATTGCCCCTGTCAGAATACACAGATCAGTGTCTGTAGCCCAATAGCTGCAGTCGTTGATCGAGAGAAGTTTCCCAGCATATTCTTTCAACAGATGTCAGTCAAATTATTTACTTCTCTTGGGCAAGGATGGCCAAACACTGATTAAAAATTGTCCAGTCCTTGCTGAACTTCAATCAGTAAGTGGACAGCTTAAAGAAGATGTAAACAATAGTTCATAGTACTGATATGTGCCTGCTGTATCATGTACTTGTATGAAAAAATATTCTGTTAGCTCTGTATTGCTTCCTTTGTGTGAAATCCCTGGTGATCCTGCCAGTCCGCTCTGCTTTCCTATTAAAAACTGACCACATTAGGCATGAGAGCACAGCGTGGTCAGTTCTCTAGCTATGCTGGGAAGTCAGTGTGTCTACCTCAATGATCAGATGTCTGCTGACTCACCCCCATCCCCCTGCACAGCCTTTCACTGAGAAGATCGGTGTGCTATTGTTTCCTCTCCCCTAGTTCTTATGCAGCTAAGAACAGAGGGTATGTGATCACTTATAAAAAAAAAAGGGGGGGGGGGGATTGGTGGTGCACGGAAATGAAAATTCTGGTGCCGAAATCGATACCGAAATTCAGAATGCACGTGGCTGAAACCTGAACCGAAACCGAAATGTCTGTGTATGTGGGAGTAGGGAGGCTCCAATTTTTTTTTCCTAATTTAATGTATATTTTTTTAATTATAATTTTATTGCTATCACAGAAGGGACCAATAGTCCCCTATGTGATAGCATATAAGTGACAGGTTCTCTTTGTAGGGGGGTGGGGGGGGGCAGTGTGTGCAAGGAGGGGGCAGGAGCAGTGTATACAGTGAGGGAGCAGTGTATACAGAGAGGCTACCTCACTGGATGTCACTATATGCCATTGCTGGTTTTTAAATGTTGGGGCGGGGTCACCCAGTGACATTACCCAGAGACCCCACCCCTTAGTTTCCTTTAGCTCAGAGGAAAGTGACAGCTCATTCTCTGAGCTATAATGAAAAAAAAAAAGCTGGTAATTACATTTAAAACCCGACAATGACATATAGGCAGCCAATCACTGTATACACGGCTCCTCTCCTGCCTTTCTCTGCCGCTCCTCCCCTCGCCACATCTTCAGTACAAACAGTCCCCTGTATTGGCTAAACTTTTCCTATCGGCAAAATGCCAATATTGCTATTTTCGGCCGATATGTTTTGGCGGCCGAAATTTCGGTGCATCCCTAGGGGGGATGTATTTAATATCTGTACACAAATGTTTTACCTTTCATTTCTGTTTTACACTGAATGGGTTGTTTTACAAGGTGAGGGTTTACAATCACTTCAAGAGTCATTGGGGAAATATCCCCATTGATGCGCTGCCATTAAACTCTATTAGAATACGCATTTTTATGAAAGTGCGTCAAAGTCCAGCATGCTCCATCTTCCATGCACTTTAACAAAACACGCATTCTAAAAGAGTTTAATGGATATGCACCTAAACAGTGTGAAGAACACATCCAAAAATTTGCATGAAAATGCAACAGGGGAAACCCACACTGCCCATGATATGAACCAGGAGCATTAATGTGTGTCCTGTATACCTGTAAAAGTCAGCTTTAACCCTCCCTTACCTATATACTTCAGACTTAACCATCCTTTATTCAAAACCTTTCCACCGTGACCTAACCATAACTAACCATAACCATTTAACTCTTGTGCCTAAAATTTTAATTTTAATTACCAGGTCCTAGGCTAAGGCCAATTATCTCCCTAACAACAACAGGATGAAGAATTCTTCTTGTCCTTGGATGACTCCAATAAGTGTCTAACACTATTGTGGTTACATGAGAAAGGTAATCAGAATTTCCTAGGCACGCCAGCAACCATTTTGGAGCAGGGCAGTGCTGATCCAGCTGATTTCTTAATTGAAACGTCCATTGCTAGCATTTCTGTAATTAAAAACATCAACTTCTGAAGGAGATTCATACTGAAGTGGCAAGGGGATTAAAGGACTCCTTACCATTTCAATTTAGGGGGAACAGTTTGAAATGTATTCATTAAAAAAATGATTGCAAAAAGAAAAAAAAATGCTGAATTAAAAAACACTACCCTTGGTTACTCAGGAGTGGCAACATTTTTGATGGACTTTTTTCCCCAACATGTAAAAATACACTTCTACACTTCTCATGTTGATAAATACTGTAAACTGTAATTTTATTGGATAGAGGAGGAAAAAATGAATTTAAGTAGAAGGAAAATAACATAAAAAAATAGTATAATAAAACCCTAATACATTAAAATTTGTAAAGAAATGGTTATAGATTTCAGCTTTTCCTGCTGACAAATGTGCTTCAGTCTGCTATGTTTTGCGAATATCGTACTTGTATGGTATTTGGTATCTTTGAAGTCAGAAGGCTTTCATGGTTATATCTTGTGGGTGAACACATGGGGATTTGTTATTTACAAAAAGAGTCAGAACAAGGAGCTCTGGGACTGAAGTGATTAAAACAAGCAGAATACATATAAACTAAACCAATATAAAGTCACTTGTTATACAAATTTTAGGTAGAGTGAGAGAATGTCACCAGCACACCATGGATCTCCAGAACAGATCCAAAGCTTTATTCAGCAATCATCATAGCCAAAGCAATGTTTCGGAGCCTCGCAGGACCTCTTCATCAGGCATGTGATTGCTGAATAAAGCGTTGGACCTGTTCTGGAGATCCATGCTGTGCTGGTGACAGTCTCTCGCTTTGATTATCTTCAGTTTTAGACAGTGGTCGTTGCAGCATCCATTTACATATCCGCCATTTTTAGGAACGTGTGTGTTGGGAATAGCGTGTTGAAACTATAGGTAGAGGGAGCACCTTTAGGGCCCAACTAAAGCCAAAACATTTTCTGCACTGGACAGAGTATGGAAAGAATATAACCTGTGTAAGAATTTACAAGATTCCTCTGTCCTGATTGTTGAGATTTCTCCCCTGTTGCGACTAGAAGTGATAAGAAATCTCTCTCAGTGAGGGTTTAGCCTGCAATAAAACATTTTGTTAATGGATAAGTCAGAATGTCTGTCAGGCAGGCTGTTACTGGAGCTTATACTGAATTTCCAAAATTGTATCGATTGGACTAAACATCAGGGATATGGATGGTCAATCCAAATTTAAAGGTTATTTTTGGTGATTTCCAAAAGGCTTCTGGGAAAGGTTGACCAAAGGCTTTGCCTTGTATCTTTGTCTATTCTTCTATTGCTTGCTCAGCCTGACTGAGACTACCACCCTTCTATCTTTGTATCAATGGTAGCATTTTTAAAAGAAGTGGCTTAGGCTGTTTCATCAGGCAAGGCTGCCAAGCTTCCCAAACCATTCTACACAATTTTTTATTTAAACACACTTTGTGGGAGCCTGGCTTATTTTTTTATTGACCTAAATTGAACACATTTGGTTTGGAAATTCTGCATTTTAGAGGTTTGATTTTAGAAAAAAAGAACTGGCAAACCTGATCAAACATCACCTCAAAATTTGTATTACTCTTAGTCTACCTGCCCTGGTGACAACCACTTTAATTTTTGTTTTGCAATCACAGCAGCAGGGGGAGAGGTGAGATCTCCGCATAAGGGAAAAGGACACCAAAAAGAGTGCAACAGACTTATTTAAATTTGTTAAGTCTGTCTAAAGCTAAAATGTTTTTTGCTTAAGTTGGGCTTGGAAGTGATTGTCATACATTTGATCCATAGTCATTGAAAGGAACTTTGTTGTACTGCCATTGAAACTGGCATCATATCATAAGGAATCTTAAGCAAGCCAAAGATGAATCGACCTTCCACCATGCTCAGTGTTGATGGGGGAATACCTCCTGCACCGTTATTGTATTTTGCTACGGGGAGGGGTGCAGGGAGCCTTCCCAGCTGGCAAAATAAAATGATTCCTGACCCAAGTGAATTGATGGGTCGACTCACATACAACCAGCCTGCCCATACATGGATTGAAATTCAGCTTCTCCCAGCTGAACTGGTCGGATTTCGATCTATGTATGGCCAAAGAAGGGTCTGGTTACTTTGAAAACACAATGTGATATTAGAAAGAAATCAATGTAGTAGTTTTGTAACAATTTTGTAGCCATAATTAACTGCATCTACAAAATCACATTTAAACATAACAATAAACTTACCAAGTACAGTGAGGTTCAGTTGACTCTCGCGGTTTCCAGTAGGAAACGTCGCAAATTCACATATGTATGGCCCCTCATCTCCTAGTTGTAACTGATTGATTTGAATGGTACCGTCACGAATAGAAGGGCTCTGGAAGACCACACGTTCTTTGTATGGAGAAAGGATTGATGTACCCATCGAAGGATTATATATAGCTACATTCTCTTTAGAGCCATTTGTTGATTTCTGCCATGTGACCTGTGTTATCTTTACAGTGGGCATGGAATTGATGAAACTGCAATGAAGGATAACATTTGTGCCAACGAATCCCGAGACTGTATCATTGACTAATACCATCTGTGCATGGACACCTGAAAGAGAAAAAATACAGGGATATTAATTTATATGAGAAATACAAAACATATGTAAAAAAACATAACTGCTCAAAAACAACATCATTTTTTATCAGTGCAAGAACGACACAAACAAAATCTTTTTCTTCCTTAAATTAATATTGAGTTATCCCACCATCTTTCAGGTCTTGCTCCAGGGAGGTGACAACACTGCAGCTACACAAAGCTACTGTAGGTACACACGCAGAGGAAGAGAGTTATCAGCGAGGAGGTTACTGCTAATAACCCTCCCCCTCACGACCAATTGCAGCTGGATATGTACTCCAACAGTAATCACTCTCTATATTTCACATCACATATGTTTTCAGGCTACGCTGGGGCTAAATGGGTGCTAAAAAAACAACTAGCAGGTTAACGTGTATGAGCATACATAAGAAGATGCGTTGCCAGCACATCATTGATTTATTATTAATAGTCCAAATGTTGAGGCAATCAAATCACTAGTGAGAATGTAACATTTCAAGAACATGCAGGTCCCTTTCATCAGGCATGTGACAGGGTACTCTAAAAAACAACAAAAAAAGGGCCCTGCTTTTCAGGGTGAATGGATTATGTTTAAATGTTCATTCATTCCCCAAAGAACACAGTCAGTTTTCATGGGGGAATCCCTCCCACAGCACTATTGTATTTGTATATTGGGCGGTGGCAAGTCCCGGCTCAACAGGCCAAATTTCGATTCATGAATGGGCGGCTTAAAGCTGTCCATAGACAAGTTAAAAATATGAACAGATTCCTCCATTCATACAATTGAGGAAGATGCATGAATCTCCCCACTGCCACTACAGCCACTGAGCAACAAAAGTTTTCAATCAACTTCTGTCGAACAGGGATGGCCACGCGCTCATCGAAATTTGGCTTGTCCCTGTTGAACCAGATGAATCTAGATCTGCCTTTAGGCAGCTTAACTTTAAATCTTTAACTTTAAAACACTCTCAACCACAAAAAATACCCAGCAACCCCTCCCCTCAACTCTAAGAATGGGGGTTTACTCTGACTCCAAGAAAATAGCCTCAAGTGTCCCACAAAAAACCCTCAAACACAAAAACAAAAATGAATAATGTACAAAAAATATCTTCATTCAGATGATTATATCCCAAAACCCTAACCCATAGTAAATTTAATTAAAATATTAACCACATCATAGGAGGTTTTGGGGTACAATCATGTGAATAAAGATATTTTTTGTACTATATAAGATATTTTTGTATATTATTGCTTTTTTGTTTTTATGATTTTTTTGTGGGACACCTGAACATCTTCATACATAAATTTAAATCCCACCATTGTTTGGTCAAGTGAGAGCTGGCTAAATTGAATGAGGTTCAGCAGTTTAAATGGATGACAAACATGCATAGCAGATGTATGGGCACACATCGTTCAGTATTATACCATCTGCTCACATTCCCAATCACATATACAACAGTATGTGAGGGTAACATCTGATAGTTCGTAGTACAGCGGATTGTGCACTGTAATCATATTTTACATCTCTCAGCAGTTCTGATTTGGCAGATGTCTATAGGAAACTGTCCTATTCAGAGAATTACCATCTACCTCCTAGCATCCTCTTTACTTTGGAATTTGTACTGCACTTGAAAAGAAGAGAAAAACACTGCATGGCAATGGTGATTTAAAAACAAAAGTTCCCCTAGACATTTTCTTCCACATCGAAGGATCATTTCACAAGCAGACTAGCAGGGTCTGATTTACTAAGGTCATAAGCTTGCTTCTCAGGCTGTCTCTGAAGATGCAGGAAGGATGCATTACAGCAGGTGCAGACAGACGCTTAATAGGCCATGTGAGTCCTTGCCAGCATTGGATGGTGCTTAGCGGCTCCCCCGCCCACTGCCTATAAAATTCATTGAACCCTGCAAACAGCAGCCCCGCTGTGTGCATGTGTGCTTGGCTGTTTTGCTGAGCACAGTGTAAAGCATTTCAATAGCACATCTCAATGCAGGCAGGGCTCAGATGGCCGCTCAAGCAGCCATCTACACCTGCCCTTAGACTGATTTACTAAACTCAAATGTGAAATGTATGCACCTCCCAACGGTCATAACAGTCTAATCCTGTTTACATCCACGCGCCTTACAGAAGCAGGTGAGGCTTAGAAAAGTGTAATTACAATGAAATCAAATAAAGAAAAACTAAAACTGTATGCAAGTTGTAATAAATAACTTTGTATATTCAGGCTGTATCTTGGCTATACACCTTGGTTTTGGATACACAGAATGTAAAGGAATTATTTGTATGGCTCTGCCCACTATCCAAAAATGAGTAATAACCATTGTTTTTGGATTTGTGTTGGAAATCTGTATTAAAAAGTTACACTGAACTTTAAAACAATGGACAAATAACAAGAGATGAGGCCCTTAGCTTGCCTGTATCTGGCCCTAAGGGCACTATTCTTTCTGCTGGTAATGAGGCACAATTCCTTTCACTGACTCCAACAATGAGGCATAATTCCTCCTACTGATACAAACTATAGGACACTATTCCTCCCACTGTCACCAACAATGGAGAAGTGTTCTTTTCACCGGCACCAATGATAGGGCACTACTCCTCCCACTGACACCAGTGATGGTGTGCTATTCCTCCCACTGACACCAAAGATGGAACACTAGTTCTTCCACTGAAACCAACAATGGTGCACTATTCCTCCTGCTAATACCAATGATGAAGCATTATTCCTCAAACTAATATCAATAATGGAGCATTATTCCTCCCACTAATACCAATGATGAAGCTCTATTCCTCAAACTAATACCAATGATGGTGCACTTTTTCATACACTAGTACCAATGATGGAGCACTATTCCTCCAACTAATACCAATGATGAAGCACTATTCCTCAAACTAATACCAATGATGGTGCACTTTTTCATACACTAGTACCAATGATGGAGCACTATTCCTCCCACTAATAGCAATGATGAAGCACTATTCCTCAAACTAATACCAATGATGAAGCACTATTCCTTCCACTAATACCTATGATGGGGCACTATTCCTTCCACTAATATCAATGATGAAGCACTATTCCTTCCACTAATATCAATGATGAAGCACTATTCCTCAAACTAATACCAATGATGGTGCACTTTTCCTTCCACTAGTACCTATGATGGAGCACTATTCCTTCCACTAATACCAATGATGGAGCACTATTCCTTCCACTAATACCAATGATGGGGCACTATTCCTTCCACTAATACCAATGATGGGGCACTATTCCTTCCACTAATACCAATGATGGAGCACTAGTTTGGAAACCCCTGGTTTAAATCAATATAACCAGTGTAGTCATTTTACTTAAAAATATGTATAATAAAATTTTATAAGGCTAAAAAAAATGTCTGTACATACGTGAAAGCAGCTTTTTTCTTATGTTCCTTAAAACTGAACTCCCAGTTGCTTTAAAACATGTTTATTGAAGCTCTATAATCTTTTATACATCTTTAAAGTCAAATGATGGGCAAAAACTGACGTTTTCCTATCCCTCACTACCACCCCCTTCCCCAATCCATCATATAAGGGATTTTCTTGGCTTACCCTAGCTCCACCATCTGGGTCCCTCACCATCGGCCGTTTCTTGCTGAACGAACCGCCGATCCAGATGTGCAGGTTATCCCTTGTTGACCTGCTACCCCCTTATGATGATATCATTCCTCTTCTGAATCCTGAGAGGTCACTGTCATTGGACAACCAAAAAGGAGGTGTCTACATCATGCAGGCAGTGATGTGGACACCCAAAGATGGACCCAGCAGAAGAAAACAGAAGAGAAGTAAATGATAGAGAACAGTAGGAGGGACAGGCAGGAGGGAGATTTCTTTGGCTTTAAATGTATATTTTTCACCTTAATTTGGCTTGGCATAAAACTTTTTTGAAGTCTCTGTATAGAAGAGCAGCACAAAAAAGCTATTCAGGTGAGTGGCAGTTCAAGGAGCATACTGATAGGGGGACAGAGCAGAATGACAGAGTGAGCTCATCTGTCTGCTGCATCTTCTTTACTGATCAGTCACAGGCCGGGGGTGGGAAGGAAACTTGTAAGTCAAAGTGAAACTGCAGCACAGAAAGATCAAGTCTCCTTCCCTGCCTGACAAGAATGTGCTGTGTGGCAATGCTGTGTAAATTTTGGAACTGGATGAACAGAAATACAAATAGTTTTGACAGGAAAAATGCAGCTTTCATCTGTTTGTCCAGAGTTCATCATTAAGAATACACCTTTGTGATCTGGGAGGGAGATCGAGAGGTGCAGCTGGGTCTCTTTTAGTGCGGTTGAATATCTTTTACTTAAATAATCGGTTGCAACATCATATCCAGGAAGACAGAAAAGCCAATCATGGCATTTGAATATCCATGTGCCCTCTTTGAATGGTAAACTTTGACTCAATTCTCCTGTTCATGGGAAGACATCTGCCTGTCTATGGGAGGACTGTGACTGGCCATTTTCAATTTTACCCTTGAAGTGGAACTTCACTCTCTCAATCCACATTGACTATTTTTAATCCTTATGCTTCTAGCATTAGTAAATAGATAGGCAACTATATCATGTTTACTTGTTTTAAACTTTTTTTTTTTTTTTACATTTCTTTAGTTACTTCCTAGTTTACATGTCTAGGCAAATGATGTCATGCATCCCAGGAGTCTTCAGGAGAGGAAGAGGGGCTTTCTCAGCAAAGCACACCCTCTTGTCTGTATGTGTGTCTGTAAGGGCACATGGATTCCAGGAAATAATTGCTACATGTTTCATCTGCCCTTACTTAAGATGGCCACAGCCAGAAATGCTAGGTTGTTCTTCAAAGTGATTTTTCAGGAAATTAAAGCAAGAAGACATTGATGGATGGAGGAGTTTTTTTTGCATATTAAAAATGAATTAGATAGTGCTTTTAGTTTGTGGTGCTCAGATAAAGTGTAGTTCCGCTTTAAGACCTTTCCAAACAAAACTACAAATGAAACAATGACTTT